CTGCCTTGTCTGGTTGTCCAGACAGCGAGTATAGTCACTGCCTTGTTGGTTGTCCAGACAGCGAGTATAGTTACTGCCTAGTTGGATGTCCAGACATCAGAGAGTATAGCCACTGCCTTGTTGGTTGTCCAGACATCAGAGAGTATAGCCACTGCTTTGTTGGTTGTCCAGAAAGCAGAATATAGTCACTGCCTTGTAGGTTGATCTCATACGGAGCAAGTTGTCCAGAAAGCAGAGTATAGTCACTGCCTTGTTGGTTGTCGAGACAGCGAGTATAGTTACTGCCTAGATGGATGTCCAGACATCAGAGAGTATAGCCACTGCTTTGTTGGTTGTCCAGAAAGCAGAATATAGTCACTGCCTTGTAGGTTGATCTCATACGTAGCAAGTTGTCCAGAAAGCAGAGTATAGTCACTGCCTTGTTGGTTGTCGAGACAGCCAAGTATAGTCACTGCCTTGTTGGTTGTCCAGACAGCGAGTATAGCTACTGCTTTGTTGGATGTCCAGACAGCGAGTATAGCTACTGCCTAGTTGGATGTCCAGACAGCAGAGTATAGTCACTGCCTTGTTGGTTGTCCAGACAGCCAAGTATAGTCACTGCCTTGTTGGTTGTCCAGACAGCGAGTATAGCTACTGCCTAGTTGGATGTCCAGAGAGCAGAGTATAGTCACTGCCTTGTTGGTTGTCCAGACAGCCAAGTATAGTCACTGCCTTGTTGGTTGTCCAGACATCAGAGAGTATAGTCACTGCCTTGTAGGTTGATCTCATACGTAGCAAGTTGTCCAGAGAGCAGAGTATAGTCACTGCCTTGTTGGTTGTCCAGACAGCCAAGTATAGTCACTGCCTTGTTGGTTGTCCAGACAGCAGAGTATAGCTACTGCCTAGTTGGATGTCCAGACATCAGAGAGTATAACCACTGCCTTGTTGGTTGATCTCATACTTGTAAGGTTGTATCAAGATTGTAAATCCCCAGTTGCAGTGGGTGCTGCTGGTATTGTCATGGATTCTGCTAAACACTTCCTGTCTTTATGGGTATATCGATTTCTGCACATGATCAGGGATGCCCTTTTGGCATAAATCACTGGCTACTGGCTACTGTTTGGGCCATGATAACAGACTGTTTGCATGTAATTGACTGTGATAGCGGAAACTCTATCAGCAGAGAAGCCTCAGTGCATGTGGGATTTGCATGTTGTGTGAAGCAGTGTTGGTCATGGTGATAATAGAGGTTGTGCAGCCGCAAACTGAACACTGAGATCCAGTGCTGTTCATTAGAGACACTTCTTGTATGATATGTACAATGTAACTTAGGCAGTGGTAACCTTACCTTGGATATATACTTAACATGCAATGAATATGTAATTCACAGACTCTACAGAGTATACACATATGCTATAAACATGGTCTGTACACATAATGCTACAGAAATGGGCTGTAAACATATGCTATAAACATGGGCTATAAACATATGCTATACACATGGGCTATAAACATATGCTATAAACATGGGCTATACACATATGCTATAAACATGGGCTATAAACATATGCTATAAACATGGGCTTTACACATATGCTATAAGCATGGCTATACACATATGCTATACCATTGCACTACACACACACAACACATGCTCAACAAATGTACATAAAACTCAAATATGGATTACTGAAGACAGAAATACATTACTGTTTGGATTTTGTTGTGAACTGTTCAAACAAATGCAGTAAATCAGAAATAAGATACATACACTACTCACAAAGAACACATATAATAAAGCATGCCATTGTTCATAATGAACCAAAGTGAAACAAAATGGTTGTTCTGGTTGAGTGAATTTCCAGTTTCTATTGAGTAATCTGTCCAACACTGTTCCGACACATTTTTGTTACAGTATCCCAGACAGTAGACACAAGTTCATGTGTTCTGTCCAGCACTGTACCGACACATACTTGTTACAGTATCCAAGACAGTAGACACAAGTTCAGGACTGTACCGACACATTTATGTACATGTAACCTGTTCAACAAATGTGCATGCCAAAAATGGTCAGTGTGTTTGTTTGGAAGAAGCCCAAGTTGTTGCATCAGTAAGTGACACCTATATTCCACATTTCATGTGTGGACTATACTCTAACTGTCTGAGTGACAATGACTGAAAATGTCTCTACAGGTGTCAGCATGGAAAACATGTTTTGTTTCATCTGAAGAAGCAATGTTACTGAATGTGATTGCTTTCAAAGGGAGATAATTCCTGCTGAAATCAGTTTATCCAAGTGACGTTTAAGCATGTGGCTGTAGAGGCTAACTTTTCTCTAATGTCCGGAGATATACCATGTTAGATTTAGTTGGCAGTTTCTGAAGATTCGTACAGGGTATGACATGTGGACTCGTGTTCGTTTGAAGGCTTTTACATCCAAACACTGCTTGTTGAATGTTTAGCTGAGTGTTCTGCCTCTGATGCGATAATGTTGTAGACAATGTTAGAAAGTGTATCTTTGATCAAGAGATCTTTGAGGGAAATGAGGTGATGTTTCAAGTCCTTTGGAGCTATTCAATCTGTCTAAGTGCCTATCTATTGATTGTGGCCAGTCCGCAATATCTTGTCAGACAAACAGCAAGCAAATCTGTGCCTTCCTTTGTACTTAGTCCAGCACGTTCTGACTGTTTCCCTGATAGGCAGAGTGCGCCAGCTCCACTGGGGACTCAGCTGATACAAAGAAACTTTGATTCTGCAGCTGAGAAACAGCAAGTAAAGTATTAGTATGGCCCTGATTTGATGGTGGGTGTTCCAGCTGTGGAACACTGTTGCAGTTGATGAGGAGCTACACTGTCGTATCAGGGCGTGGCATCAGGAAAACAGAAGCCCCTAATGGAGCAAAATGTTTGATGACTTTTGTAAAGGCTCATGTGTTTGAAGACCTGGGTTCTTTTGTGCCAAGTGATCTTGGCGCTAAGGTGATTTTGACTCCCATACCATAATATAGACATTGGACTGTCATAGCGCTAAGGTGATTTTGACTCCCATACCATAATATAGCCATACGACTGTCATAGCGCTAAGGTGATTTTGACTCCCATACCACTGTCATAGCACTAAGGTGATTTTGACTCCCATACCATAACATAGACATACGACTGTCATAGCACTAAGGTGATTTTGACTCCCATACCATAACATAGACATACGACTGTCATAGCACTAAGGTGATTTTGACTCCCATACCATAACATAGACATACGACTGTCATAGCACTAAGGTGATTTTGACTCCCATACCATAACATAGACATACGACTATCATAGCGCTAAGGTGATTTTGACTCCCATACCATAACATAGACATATGACTGTCATAGTGCTAAGGTGCTACTCCAGTGTGTTTGACAACTTGTACAAATGTTCCAATGTGTCGGGGGAGATGGGGTAGCCTAAGGGTTAAAGCATCACGCTGAAGACACAGGTTCAATTCCCCACATGGGTACAATGTGTCAAGCCCATGTCTGGTGTCCCCTGCCATGATACTGCTAGAATATTGCTAAAAGTGATGTAAAACCAAATCACTCACTCACTCACTCACTCCAATGTATTCGGTAACTAGCTGTATGAATTTTGCAATGTTGGACAACTTGTACAAATGCTAAAAAATAGCTGATGAGTATCTTATGTGATGAGAATCAATTAAGGTGTATCCTTATGATTGAGGTGGCCATACAGTGTCATCTCTTTATAGTAACAGTGTCATTGTTATGCTGAAGAAGTCATTCACTCACTGCTATCTGTGTAATGCACTCGATGACGTTCTTCTTCAAGAGACTTGGGTTATGTTGTGAAGGAAGACAAGCCTGACATATGACCATGTTTCCAAGACGTGGATTATCTGATTGTCGGTGAATACATGTTGATATACTTTACAATTCTGTATCGCTGTGATGACAAAATGACGTGATATTGATGTGGTTTATTGTCCCTGGTATGAGAGCATTGTCTGTAGCTATTGATCCCCACACAGAGCTACAGTGCATTAAGCCGCTAACTTGGGCCCCTACTGCAACAGTCTCTTATAGTTCCATGTTGCTGGACTAAACATTGATAGTTCTTTGTTACAAGATGTGTCACTAGTCATGTGATGCAAAGGTGTGTGGACATTGGCTCTCATTCATGAAACTGTAATTACTTATTTGGGAGGTGTATCAGTTGAGTAACTAGAGGTCTGTATGAGCCCTCTATTTGTCATCCAAAACTGGCTTGTACAGGAGACTTTGGTGAGATCAAGACAGGTAGGATGTAGCCATGACATCACTCATCTCGCTGCTTGTTAAACTCAAGGCACTGGTTATCAATCTTCACAAATTGAAAATGTAGGAAAAATGGATATGTTGATAAATAGAACCCGTGATCTTTGTGTTCTGATTGAGATGTTGACATGATACATAAGGACACCTAGATTAGAACCTCTATGCATTCAGCGGGGAACATTGTGATGAAATCTGTATTAACACTCTAGGTGTTGAGCAGGGGAGTGCTTAATGAATGTTAGATTCACCTCTGTGTGTTCAGCAGGTATGAGGTTTTAATGAAGGCTGCATTAACCCTTTGTATGTTATTCAGGCAGGGGAGGGTTGATGAAGGCTGCATTAACCCTTTATGTGTTATTCAGTCACTGAGTGAGTGAGTGAGTTTTGTTTTACGCCACTTTTAGCAATATTCCAGCAATATCACGGTGGGGACACCAGAAATGGGCTTCACACATTGTACCCATGTGGGGAATTGAACCCGGGTCTTCGGCATGACAAGCCATCACTTTTAACCACTAGGCTACCCTACCGCCCCTTATATGTTATTCAGGCAGGGGAGGTGTTGATGAAGACTGCTTTAACCCTTTATGTGTTCAGCAAGCAGGGGAATTGTGAATGACGGCTGCTTTAACCCAGTATGGGTTTAACCCATGCAGGTAGGGTTGATGAAGGTTAAATTAACCATGTATTTGTATCATTTCAGCGCGGGGAGTCACGGGAGGGGCTGATGAAGGAGCTGGAGAGGGAGAGGATGCTGCGCGTGGATGCTGAGCAGCGACTCCTGGAGATGAGGGTGGAGAGTGACTCATGCCGTTCCCGCCTCCAGGCTCTGCAGGAGGAGTTCAAGAAGTAAGTGCTGAAGTAGTTGGATAACAGTTGCTGAATGTCTGGTACACACAGCAGACACAGTAGTACAAGTGCTGAAGTAGTTGGATAACAGTTGCTGAATGTCTGGTACAAACAGCAGACACAGTAATAGAAGTGATGAAGTAGTTGGATAACAGTTGCTGAATGTCTGGTACAAACAGCAGACACAGTAATAGAAGTGATGAAGTAGTTGGATAACAGTTGCTGAATGTCTGGTACAAACAGCAGACACAGTAATAGAAGTGATGAAGTAGTTGGATAACAGTTGCTGAATGTCTGGTACAAACAGCAGACACAGTAATAGAAGTGATGAAGTAGTTGGATAACATTTGCTGAATGTCTGGTACAAACAGCAGACACAGTAATAGAAGTGATGAAGTAGTTGGATAACATTTGCTGAATGTCTGGTACAAACAGCAGACACAGTAATAGAAGTGATGAAGTAGTTGGATAACAGTTGCTGAATGTCTGGTACAAACAGCAGACACAGTAATAGAAGTGATGAAGTAGTTGGATAACATTTGCTGATTGTCTGGTACAAACAGCAGACACAGTAATAGAAGTGATGAAGTAGTTGGATAACATTTGCTGAATGTCTGGTACAAACAGCAGACACAGTAATAGAAGTGATGAAGTAGTTGGATAACAGTTGCTGAATGTCTGGTACAAACAGCAGACACAGTAATAGAAGTGATGAAGTAGTTGGATAACAGTTGCTGAATGTCTGGTACAAACAGCAGACACAGTAATAGAAGTGATGAAGTAGTTGGATAACAGTTGCTGAATGTCTGGTACAAACAGCAGACACAGTAATAGAAGTGCTGAAGTAGTTGGATAACAGTTGCTGAATGTCTGGTACAAACAGCAGACACAGTAATAGAAGTGATGAAGTAGTTGGATAACATTTGCTGAATGTCTGGTACAAACAGCAGACACAGTAATAGAAGTGATGAAGTAGTTGGATAACAGTTGCTGAATGTCTGGTACAAACAGCAGACACAGTAATAGAAGTGATGAAGTAGTTGGATAACATTTGCTGAATGTCTGGTACAAACAGCAGACACAGTAATAGAAGTGATGAAGTAGTTGGATAACAGTTGCTGAATGTCTGGTACAAACAGCAGACACAGTAATAGAAGTGATGAAGTAGTTGGATAACAGTTGCTGAATGTCTGGTACAAACAGCAGACACAGTAATAGAAGTGATGAAGTAGTTGAATAACAGTTCCTGAATGTCTGGTACAAACAGCAGACACAGTAATAGAAGTGCTGAAGTAGTTGGATAACAGTTGCTGAATGTCTGGTACAAACAGCAGACACAGTAATAGAAGTGATGAAGTAGTTGGATAACATTTGCTGAATGTCTGGTACAAACAGCAGACACAGTAATAGAAGTGATGAAGTAGTTGGATAACGGTAAATACTATTTTCAAAGATGAAAGAAGATTTGTTTTTGTTATTTGGATTATATTACATAACCCATATGCTTTCTAAGATGGATTTTCATGGTCCTCGTTGTCACAGTTGAGTGTAAATCCATGGTTATACTACATGACTGATTTGGATAGTTGCTGAATCAACTGTTATTTTGGATGATGTAAGTTGCTCTGGATACAGACATAAGCCTTATTCAGTAATGGACTATGGATAGGATGAATTTATGTGAATTCATCATCAGTTGAGGACATCTAGCATTATCAGTTCATCATAATCATTTATCACAATCATTTTCAATCAGCTTTTTCCGAGTTTCCATGGGAGATATGAGATACGTGGTTGAGTGTCTTGTGTGTGCTGTGTATGGTATCTCTAATTAAGGTGTCTCTAGGGCTGTCCCCTGTCTAACACTGACATGGTTATCAGTCATCTACAATTGTCATTTCTCCAATGTCACGATAATATCACTACTCCAGATGAATGATTTCCCTAACTTGTCAATAATCCAACGCCAGAATGTCTGTCAAAATTTGATTATTTCATCTCTGAGGGACTCTCTATTCGAGAAATGATAAAAAACTATAGATTTGTTTTAAATCTGGCAAGCAGCAGAACAGTGGGGATGGTAGCTGTCGGAGTGGTGTGTTAAGTAGGGTTATACCACAGGAGAGAGGTAACATGATCACAAGCAGTGTGTCACCTCTGCTGAAGGCAGTTCTATCAAGCTGAACCAAACAACAATATTTTGAAACTGAATGCTTGATACACATAGTGTTGATAAAACACTTCTAGCTGCAGTCCTTTCGATTTCATTTGAGACTGATGAATTGCTCACTAACGCAAAATCTGATAAAGTCACATGAAATCGACAGACCAACCCTGATGATTCGTCTCATAATTTTGGACACCCGAATAAAAAAGTTGTTTAACACAAATGATCATTATTTTGTTGTCTCTTTTGCTATTTTTTATGATAGGGGACCACTTGCTGGTAGAACAGGCAGGTGTGTGATTTGTATTATCCATGCATGTTTTGTTAGGTATCTGTCTCAAGTCCCAGGATTATATTATTGTCCCCACTACCCAGCCCTTACCATTATAATCGTTATGCACTAAAACTGGCAAGTCTATATCTCACTGGGGCTCCTTTCTTGTTTAAATGTTACTGTCAAGATTCCATATTTCCAGAGACTAAGTGTGGCATGATACAAGTGTGGAAGTGTTTGTATGGTGTCAGGTTTGATGCATGAGGCCCACCTGGCTCCAGATGGACAGGAATGATATATAAGTGAATCCATGACAGCTGATGGTGGCCAAGTTGTTTCATTATATCAATAGTGTACTGGGTAGTTTGTAAAAAACTGCTCTCACTTATTGATTAAAACCTTTCCACTACAAGCATCTTAAAATTCAATACATGGATCTGTTGGTTGCTTTAGGTTTTTACGAGCTGTCTTGGTCTATCTGTTTCATATGAACACAGTTATCAAGAACACATATCATTGACTTTCTATAAACGTTCCATTCTGGCCTCCGTTTAAGTAATCACATGCTTCCAGTTTACAATTGTAATCATTTGAGTTGATAATGAGAAAATGTGGACAATTCCCATGTTAAAGTATTTGATATTTGAGCTGATGTGTGTAATCACCCAATTACCATAATGAGCAGTGAACATATACAAGCCTAGGAAGGTAGAAATAATCAGCAGTGGTTTTTCATAAGTGACTTTATCTCAAGTCCATCATGACCATTTTCCGAGCTTGTCGGTTTTGATTATCTTCTGGTCAGTAATGGAGTTCGGACATATCGACCACAGGTCAAGGGTGAAGTGATTGGTGAATCAATCATGTATTAAACAGGCACACCCGCAGGCATTTAATCGCCTGGATGTGGACTGGCACAGCCTATTTGGAGCCTCTCTGGATCAAACATTTTCCTAGAGCTGTACAATTTCTTTATACATCAATGCATGATAGAATTACTCAGAAACCAAGTCTATCTTTAGTGCGAAGAAAGATAGGCGCAATTTCTGACCCATCCTGATATCCAGCCAAGGCTGGAACTCCGGAAACACACCCGCGTTAAACTAATTTCCTCTAAGTCGACAAGCTTCGTAATCAATGAGATTTAACGCTGCTGCAAAAACTAATCTTTTGTCCGTTGTCCGATCACCAAAAAGCTGAAGCCTTTCATCTGCAATAATCAGAACAGCTTTGAATATTTTCCATACAAAAATTTGATGAATTGCATGGTTACACTAAAATAGCCTCAGGATAGAAAAGGAAAGGATATGATTTTATTGCTCTCTTGTATGAACGTAGAATATCTCACATGTGGCACGGTTGTAGGGAATCTGCTAGCTTCATGCAGTAGGCCTGATGAAGCCAGTTGTAACGAAGTCTTTACACTATAAATAGATTGTCATACCTTCTCTGTTTGACCAGCACTTTCATTGGCTTTGAAGACTATTGGAAAACCTTCCACCATCACATGCACAAAAACTACATTTGAGTGAATTTAGTGTTTGAGCTTTCAATAAATCTAATCTGAATTGGTGCATCATTTTGTATCCAGTGCCTTTTTGGAAAAATTTGATTTCATGAGATTTGTAAACGTATCATTACCCCCAACCTTGCTAAAAAAAAAAGGCATATTCTGCAACAACTATAATCAGTAATGACAAAATTAGGTTTGCACGAATGCTCCACTGATAAGCGAACTTCATACCCCCGGTTGCGTGAATCGTTTTCTATTTAGGAGGGATAAAAGGTGACCTCTGCATCTTAAGATGTGGCCGCAGGCAGTACTCACTGTTACGAACACATCTCAAGTGGACTGTGTAAATTCCCTCGATGACTTTTGTTCCCAATAACGCATGCTGCCTCCAAATGTTCAGCTTTTGCTATTGAAACCTTTGATGAAGCAAAGCATTAATCACAAATAAGGTTTTGGTGATCTTTTTTTAATCAAATAACATTTCTGGTTGTGTGAGTTTTGGATGATGGCCTGACAAATTGATTAAAATACACTGGTGAAACGAAGAAACTAGCCTGTCCCTGTAGAGTGCAGAAAATGGAAGGAAAATAGTTTTAAGAATGATTGTAATGGCCTGTGCAAAAGTGTCCTCATAATATGACATCTGCATTTCGGCTGCAGAGTTAATTAAGCTGAAACAGCGGATGACTTGTCAATATTCGAATGCGAATGATAAAAACGGAAACAGCAATTTAATTTTTCTCCCTGCTCTTTGTAGATGAAAATGATGTGCACTGAAGAAGAAAATCACTATTATTGTCATTTGTTTGTTGAAAACACTGAAGTCATTCATAAAGCTTTATATTAAATATGAATTTGTTTGTTTTCAAATTGAGAGAACTTTTAAAGTCATCATTGCATGCAACATGAATGCATTCATGTTCTGTAATATTTTAATTGATGGCAAAGGTAATTCGTAAACAATGACTTTTAATCTTTATACAGGTATTTCTGAACAATATGGATTGAAATTGAAAATCTTTCATTTTTACTGACCTTATTAGTAA